CCTCAGCACCTCACAAGGAGGAATTTTTTCCCAATATCTCACCTATCCCTCTGGCAGTGTGAATGCTGCTTCTTTCAGCACCACAACCCTGCAAGCAATGCGTAAACATACTCAGGGCTCACACTCAGCTCTCACAGCAGTCACGGAGCTGGGATTGGGTAGAAACATGACCTCAGGAAGTACTTTTAGTTTTATTTTCTTCTAAACTCCAGGACTTGACATAGCAGATAAACTCACTGGCCCTTCCAATCTGTCAGGGACTATTATCTGCTTAGAGAAAACATTCCTCCAAGGAGCCCTGCCATCTCTGCACCGGGGTAGGATTGACAGATTGAGAGTGGACACAAGATGAGGCATCTTCAGAGATCAGGATCCTTCTTTAGGATCCAAGAGATACAGCTATTTTCTCTTCTAGTGGCTCTGCAACCTAATTCATTTAAATTCTAATCTCTCTTATTAGTCAGCAATTCCTTATTGCCCAAACCCTTCCTGTGACCAAATCCTTACCTGCTGACCAAATTACTGACCAAGTCTTACCTATTGACCAAACCTTACCATCACTGCTGGGACTAGGGGTTGAATCTATCCACGGTGAAACAACTTGCTGTGGCCAAGCATTAAAAGGGAGCTTCAGGGAGGGCCAGGGACACTACCTGGTTGGTCTCAACAGAGCTTTCTTCCCCCTCCTTCCTGACACATTGCTCAGTCCCAGCCACAAAACACAAGGTACAGTGTCACTCCTCATGTTTGTCATCCCTCCACAGTGCTCCAAGGGAACGTTAGAGCGGTGTCTGGTGCAGGACCTGCCTCCAGCCTGTCCCCTCATAGCCCAGAGCCTCACTGGGTCCTGGGGGCTGCATCCATGAGCACTAAAACCCCAGGAGCTGCTTCATCTCCAGTTTCTGGCAGCTGGGCCCAAAGTCTTTACTCAACAGTGTTGGAAACGGCGTTGGGAAAGAGATGCTCCGAACCAACTCTGCCAGAAGGACAAACTCCAAGCAGCCCAACCCCCTACCCCAGGGCAGACAGCTCATTCTCACAGGATGGGTGGCCACACAGAAGCAATAACGACCAGAACTATCAGCTCTTTAAGTAGTTTTATAAAAATTTTTGACTTAACTGAGATACTGTTACAGTTACCTGAGTATTTGGAATTACAATGCAAGGAGATATCAACAATGGATTTCAGTACAGTATTTTACAATCCAGTGCTGCTGATCCCAGTTTCTACACAAGTTCACTAGAGCACATATACACAGAGTGATTCTTGGAGAAAATGAAAAGACAGCACAAAAAGGGGGCTGGAGATACCAACAGACAGAGGTGAGATTGCAAATCCAGTGCAGTATGTAATAAAATGCAAAACCCCATCAAATTAAACAAGCATTTCTTTGTTGCTTTCCTCAGAATTAAAAAAAAGCTTTTTGTTTTTAAACACAAGCAACTGGATTAAAACACCCCAGACTTCCATACGCGATCAGGTGAAGACATGCCACGTTTGCTGTGCATGTCATTGGTGTATGAACAGTTCCTGAGCTACCCAGAACAATAAGGCTTTGTTAATTCTCAGCATTTGGCTCACATCATCATTCTCATGAGGGAAAAGTCTAAATAAAAGGTCTTTTAATAGTTGATCATTAGATCAATGACAGCTGCAGGTGAAGGCAGATTTGTGACATACAATGAATTGAAGCAGCTCAGGTTGCTAAATCAGTCGATGTAGTGGGAGACAAAGTCATTAATCTCTGCTGAAATTCTCACTTGTGAGTCCAGTCCTTGTTTCCTGGGATAACAGCCGCTCTGGGCTCACCCTGGATTGCTACACCACATCCCCAGAAAGAACAGCAAAGTGCACCAGTAGCTCATAGAAATTCCTTTTTATTTCTACACAACAAGCTGTAAAAATGGAACAGGTCTGTTGGCACTCACAAGCCAAATGCCTAAGGAATCTGAGCTTGTGACTTCAATACTGCCAACTGAACACTGGAAAGTTGCTTTGACTTTAATAATATATTATATATAATATTTTGGCCAAGTCCAATGTTTCACTGATTATTCCCTCCCTCCCCACAATGAATTCTTTACTTGCAATACTTAAAGCCATATCTGGTGCTTGGGATTTCCAGCCCCCTTTCTCTCCTCCTGGTACAGCAGGAAAGACACAGAAACATGCCACTTAAATTAAAGAAACAGTGGAATAAGTGGAATCCTGGACATCAAAAATATATACAAGCAGGTTTGTTTTTTTCCTGAACTAAACATTTCAACCATAAAAATATTCAACAGCCAAACCCTATAGAACTAGGGCTAAGGCTATTTCAATTATACTATTCTTTCTTTTAAAAATATAGGGCTGAAAGCCTTTTGGGTGATATTTATAAATGAACAATAGTTCTAGGTTCCCTACATGAATCATAAAGCAGTTTGCAGAACATAGACTATTTCTCATAGCTTAATCTTGCATTATCTTGCTTAATTTACTCTCTCTTGTAAATATGTTAGATAACTACATTTCATTGTAAGAATTAATATAAACAGAAAATGTATATAAGGCTTTTTTTTTCCTCTCCTTATGAGCTGTAACATAGCCAAATGTTGTCCAAGTCGGCAGCTTTCCTCCCAGGAAAACCACGGAGCCAGGTTGGTTCTCATTACCAATGGGTCATTTCTGTCTCACCAGCAGCTCTGCCCAGGCCTTTTTGTAACCAGCCTGACAAGACCTAAAGTGACTCTCCTGCCTTCTCACAGCATTGATCACTTAGACCTAAACCACTCCTGAAGTCAGTTAAAACCTGTAGTGTCTTGGCTCTTCTTAGGCCTGAACCAGTTGTTCCCCCTTGCAGGGACAGGACATCAGGAAAAGAATATTCTTTCCCAGACTGGAAGTTCAGTTTTACCCTTTCCCACTGTCCTGTTTCAGCTCTGTTATCTAGAACCATCTTCAAAGCAGCTCCTGCCCCAGCGCTGTGAGCTGCAGGTTTGCTTTAATATGTGCTACATGTTATTTCAAGTGTCACGTGTGTCACTGTGGCCACAGCTCACCTTCCTGGTGTCTGCCTCCCTCCCCTCGGGCAGGGAGGGGCTGACCTGACCCACAAAGTGCATTCAGTCTAAAGGAGCAGTAAAATGTTTTTGTAAACCAGAAAAGAATATTAACAGACTCTAAAAGGAAGTAAAAGATGTCAATCCAATAGGAACTCACTAAAAAAGTTACTAGCTGTAAGCAGCTTAGGGTGAATCAGCTTAGAAACCTTCCCAAAAACTTGAGTTTCAATCTTTATAGAACTATTTCCTGACACTTCAGCTTTCCAAAAACCTGTAATCCATGTCTGAACTTCCTAATCCTCTTGGCCTCAGCCAGTCTCACACATCAGTTCATCAGCAGAAATGATGAGTAGGATCATTTTCTGAATCCACTTGTTTTGTACCTCTTCCTGAGAGCCCAACAAACTCTTCAGAGCAAACTGACTGCAACAGGTAGGAAAACCCCCAAGGATCATGTCCAACCATCAGCCTGCAAACAGGAAACTCAGTGGAATCAGTGCAATCCCAGGTGGGCTTGGCTTTTGCAAAACAAGTGAAGTACCACAGTGTTAATATGGATTTCAAAGTTCCAATGTGTTACACAGCAAAAGATCCCAGTCCTTCAGAGGGCACACAGCAGTGTTCCAACAGCTTTGGGCAGGCATCTGTCCTGCTCAAATGAGCAGGACTGGGATAAACCAAAGCTATGCCCTGGATTTGTGCCACAGTTTGACATCCCCTTAACAGCAGCTTGAGTCCAGCTGGCACGTGAGCAGACTCCAGGAGGGGAGAGAACAGTCTGGCCACACTCGAGTTAGAAAAAGGAGCTCAAGCCATGGAGTGCTCAGGGTGCAGAGGGGTTCCAGGCTGGCCCCAACACTGCTGTGGAGAGGCTCAGGATGCTGCTGCAGCATTGCAGCTACCAATGAACTTCCCAGTGCATCAGTAGCAAAAAATGCTACTAAAAAGGAAAGACAAAACTATTGTTAAAAATATGTCAGTCATTAAGGACACATTCTAATTAATGAATGGTAAAACAAAGCAGAGCCCAAAGCTGTATCAAACCTCTACTTCAGTCACAATTCCTTTGTAGCCATATCTGACTGCTCATTTGATTTCTGAAAGTGCTCAGTAGAAATCCAGAGTTAATTGTGGCTAAAACCTCAGGATAACATCCATTTATTTACACATTAGTATTGTTAAATAACTCCAAGTCAAGTCTATTTTACAATGAAGTGTGCAACAAGCAGAAGTGAAGAACATACACCGTGTTGAGTTCACATTCTTCAAGGTGCAAATTTGAGCTACTCTTGCCCAAATCCTTCTGTTTCTTCAATTGCAAACAACAGCTTTTCCTTCAGCTGCTCATAATTCTTGTATGGCGGAAGGTCTAAGCGATTGAAACTGAAAAGAAGAAATTTAAGTACTGAGAAAGAATTCAACCATCCCAAAAAGATCACAAATTAATTATGATGGGTTAATTACCCAAACTGTGAATTGAACCTTGTGCCGTGCAGGTGGGCACTGTGATTTACACCCTGTGAACAGCTCACTCCTGACGTGATGTACATACACAACTGATGTATTGCTGAGAGCAGAGATCAGACTTCAAGTGCTCAAACAGCGATTGTTTTCACCAGCTTTTCCTGGGTGGTTAATTAGAGTCATCATTGAGATAGGAGATTTTAAATCTGTGTGTTTTTACTAACCATTAACACAACACATGAGGGACTGAGTAGAAGTTATCTTTCCCCTAGGGAATAGTGTGGGAATGTGGCTGCTTCACTACCATGGGTACAAATTGGAAGAGGGAAACTAAGATTAGATCTTAGGCAGAAGTTTTTGCTGTGAGGGTGGTGAGACACTGTCCCAGGTTGCCCAGGGAGGCTGTGGCTGCCCCAACCCTGGCAGTGTTCACAGCCAGGCTGGCTAAAGCCTTGAGCAACCTGCTCTGGTGGGAGGTGTCCCTGCCCAGGGCAGGGGTTGGGACTGGATGGTCTCTGAGGTCCATTCCAACCCCTTAACATTCTATGAATCTATGAACAATCTAAGATGGAGTGCAGTGATAACAAAGGTTAATCACAACCTCTTTAGAAGGTACTGTTAATTACTTTAAATGTTCAGTAATACACCAATCCTGGGGATTTACAATGGTATCTACTCAAGAGTTTTCCAGAAGTTCATCGTTACTCCCCACAGTTCATTGGCATAAATTGTGTTTGCTTTCAGTCTCTCAGCGATTCCACTCTACTATCCACTTAGTCCAAGTAGTTGTTGTCATCAAAACCAGACATGGAATGATAGTCTGATGTTTCATGTACTCACCAAGTGTGACTTCTAGGTAACCAGTTTTCCTTTCCAACTTTTTCAATGCAAAATTTTTGGGGTCCATTGCTCCCTGTAACAAATTCCAACAAAAGGCATAGGTCTAGCTGCCTTTGGATCAACATATAATACATCTCAATAAGGCAAGGCTTAAACAAAGACAGATCACTGTGACTTGTACAGAAAAGAGACATCTGTCTCACTGCACAGCTCTGCCTGGATCAGAGTATGCATGAGGGGAAATGCAGCAGTTTGAAGTGATTTTGAAGCTCAATACAAAGGTGCAAACATTATCTCTGTCTCTTTTTCAATCATAGGTCAAGTATATGCAGGGCTTACAAAACAACATTCAATAAAAAATTCATTTAAAATGTCCACAGATATATGATCTGGTTCTTTTAAAAAGTATCTGCTATATTAGAGGGATCATTAATGCATACCCATGAGGTCAGCAAATCCTCCCACTGGCAATCTGCATGTTCCAGTCACAAACTGCAAGAGTCTCATTCTCTTCTCATTATCTATTTCTTTCACAAACTGTAAAACAGTAAAATTGAAATAAACATTTAGGGATTGATTGAATATTCAGTTTTTCACATCCTCACACACAGCTGAACAAGTGCCATGGCTGTTAGGAACAGCTGGATTAGCAGTAATAATCTATTTGCACTCTGCAGATGTTCTGTTCTGTTCTGAGTTTTGTTCACTGAGCTCTGTAACTTTTGTTGGTTGGAGAGTAAAGCAGAAAGTGCAAACCTGCCAGAACCACACGATCTGCCTGCTGGTCCTGGTGTAGTGTCTGTAGATGGTGTGTCTCTGCCAGTCATTCAGGTCAATTTCTTGCATTCCACAGAGAAGCACCTTTGGGGCAGAGACAGGGAAATAAACATGTTATCGCTTTCATAGTTTCATATTATGTTAGGGGTTGGAATGGACCTTAAAGATCATCCAGCCCCAACCCCTGCCCTGGGCAGGGACACCTCCC